AGTGCAAGGTCCTGCACGTGGGTCAAGGCAAATCCAAGCACAAGTACAGGCTGGGCGGAGAATGGATTGAGAGCAGCCCTGAGGAAAAGGACTTCGGAGTGCTGGTGGATGAGAAGCTCAACGTGAGCTGGCAATGTTCACTTGCAGCCCAGAAAGCCAACTGTATCCTGGGCTGCATCAAAAGGAGCGTGGCCAGCAGGTTGAGGGAGGGGATTCTGTCCCTCTACTCTGCTCTCGTGAGACTCCACCTGGAGTACTGCATTCAGCTCTGGAGTCCCCAGCACAAGAAGGACATGGAGCTGCTGGAGCGGGTCCAGAGGAGGACCACGAAGATGATCTGAGGGCTGGAGCACCTCTGCTATGAAGACAGGCTGAGAGAGTTGGGACTGTTCAGCCTGGAGAAGGCTCCGGGGTGATCTTATTGCAGCCATCCAGTATCTGAAGAGGGTCTACAAGAAAGCTGGAGAGGGACTTTTTACAAGGGCGTGTAGTGATAAGACAAGGGACAATGGCTTTAAACTGAAAAAGGGCAGATTTTGATTAGAGCTAAGGAAGAAATTCTTCACTCTGAGGATGATGAGGCACTGGAACAGGTTGCCCAAAGAAGTTGTGGATACCTCATCCCTGGAAGTGTTCAAGGCCAGGTTGGATGAGGCTTTGAGCAACCTGGTGTAGTGGAGGGTGTCCCTGCCCATGGCAGGGGGGGTGGAACTAGATGATCTTTGAGGTCCCTTCCAACCCAAACCATTCTATGATATGCTCCCAGAACTAGTAAAACTAAGACAGCATACTATTCTAGTTTCTTTCTGAAGCTGGATAGGCACTCAGTGGATGAACTGAACACTGTAAATGGCTGCAGAAGTTTTCACATAACCTATTGTACCCTTTCCAAGAATCGATTCCCGGTGCCAACTTACTTTGCAGAAAATAAATGAAACAAGGTGACAAAACGATCCCAAGTATGATGAATACTTGCTCCTCAACAAGACTATTATGCAGTTGGGAGATTTGAACAGAAAAATATTGTCAGTGACAACAGAGAGAGATGAGAGTCTCTTTTTATCTGAACAGCATTCTAAAGGCTATTATAATCACCATTTTGCAATTCGAAAAAAGGAGACAACAAAGATTGCTTCAATACCTGTTAAGTGTCCACTCATTGTTTTATCATGGCTATTGAACAGCTGTCTGTACTTCAGTCTTGATGACTGCGGTACAGCCCACTCTGCCACAGGAGGCACACTAGAATTAGAAAAAGGATAAGGAGGAGAGAAACACAATTTTAAATTTAATCACATGAAGCTAATAGGTACAATAGGATGAAGTGCTGCACAGAGATCAAGTTTTATGCCTGAAATGGTTCTTTCCACAAATATTCCCTTCTTTTCTTGAAACCACAACAGCTTTTACTTCTTGTTTGAAAACATCTACTATAATTCAGTGTCTTAGAAGACATTTTTTAGTAAAGTTGAATGACAGAGTTTTGCTTTTTTCTTTACTAGCAGAGAATTAAGTAACCTAAACAGTTTAGAGCTAAAAGCTTTACCTAAACGTAAAATAGGAAATGCCTTACACCACAGTCAGCAGAAGTGCTATCTCACTTTACCCCATCTTTAACTGGTTGTCTTAGCCAAACAATTCATAAGCTGATTAAGGAAAACAAATGTAAAATATGCTGAAAACATAGAAAAAAGCATGAAAAGGCTGCACCTGAAAGCAATCAGTTTCTTGTAATGGAACTCAACTGACAAATTTAATATTCTCAGTTCTAATTCACCCACATAATAGGTTGAGTGCTGTTATTTGTAGTCATAATTTCCCATGCTTGAAGGCTGACAAGTCGTCATAGTGAAAAACAATGCGCACAGTTTTTCTGTCTTTAGGCACATTCAAACTTTGTCCTTTTTTGTTAAGGTTGGGGGGAAAAAAAAAGAAAAAAGCAGCCAGACTAAATAAGCATTTATAACAGCACACCAAATTACAGTATAAAAAAATTAACCAAAACCACCCAGTCTCTCTTCCCTGGTCCACTGAGCAGACAGCATGGTAACATCTTTCAAAGTTGAGCTGAGAAGGATTATGTGAATACTCTAGTAATTGATCTCATATGCTGTTCTCACATGACAAGACCCAGAGCAGCTAATATCTCTATCTCCCTTTTCAAATTCTTGTGCTTTAGTAATACTCTTTCATGAGAGCAAAGCAAAAACAAGCTACAAACAAAAAAAAGCTATTTAAGTTTTATCCATGTGAATTCCTTTCTCACTAGTTTTGCCACATTAAGTCTACTTTTGTCTTACATATAGATGTTCTTTGATCTGTGAAGCAAGCTTACTGTACATTAAGTAATGAAAATCTACCTCACGGATACTGAAATGGTAGTTCAGGAAGAAAAAATTCTGGAGGACAAAACAGTTGACTCATGTAAACCAAAAGTTCACTACTGGAGAGCCAGCAGACAGTGTGATAAAAACATCCTAAGTGGAATTTTGAATTTTACTCTTCTCAAAATTCAAAATAATTCTCAGCTAGAAAAAACAAACACAAAAAAAACCCCAAAACAATCACTTCAACTTTACATTTCAACTTAACAGACTTAGCTCTTCTTCCTCTCTTTCATAAACTCTAGAAATCAATTTCCTTTGCTGTCTGTTTTCTTCAAAATAAAACTTCAAGACACAAAACAGTTCCTCACTCAGCATTAGCAGCGGTCTTTGAAGGAACACCTCCTTCAGTGCTGGCAGACGTTTCAGAGTTACTGAAGTCACTGTGATTGAACTAAGGGAGCTCCAACCCCAGCCCAAATAGATTCAGAGGACCATGCAATTTCACCTCAGGAAAAGAAGTCATCTCACTCTGAGTTTCAGTCCTCTGTTGGTAATAAAAGTGGCCAGCAAGATTTAGATATAGTTAACCCCGAAAATATTACAACCCTCTTACAGAATATCTAGAAGCCAGTTCAGCTGAAGTTTCTGAACTTTATTCATTATAAATACTAAGCGTTGTTTTAGACAAAGCAGATAATTTCTTGCACTTCTGGAAATTGCATCAGAGCATCACTACTATGTTCCTGACAGCAATAGATTTCAAAGAGAAAAAAAAATTGTTTGAAAGATTTTTAATCCTGTTTGTCAATAATCAGTAGTATCACTTATCTAATATCAGAGCACAAGAAAAACTTGCAGAAGAAAAATGAAAATAAAAATAGATAATTAAATAATGTCTCAACCCATTTTCTTCTTGCAAAAAATTCTGTACTATAGACCTGTGATAAAGTTTTGATTTATAAAAACTTTGGGAAATTACTATTTTGTCTCCTCTACAGAAGTTTTATTTTGTTAGACACATTTCTTCAGACGATAGCAAAATACATTTTGCCTAACCAGACATTTTTCTAGGCCTTGAAATAATCTAAAAGGCTTTTAGGCGATTTTTCATGCAGAACTTGAAGAATAGATAAGAAACAGTTAAGTTATGTGGAGTGCATTTATAATATGAAAACTACTAAATATTTTGTTTTTAAAAAATAGTCCTAGAACTGCCGACTTTAAAGAATATTACTTGCTATGTTTTCACACTAACAGGAGGGTGCCTGTGCAGTATTACACAATACAGATTATGTTTACAGAAGTAAATACTGTTCTAAAAAGTTAAGTTTTCAAGACTTTGAAAATAGTGTCAACACATACTGTAATAGATAATTATTATATTTCAATGATTCACTACTCATGGAGCATTCCTTGTAAAACCATAGCATCCTATGAAATCCTGAAGTAGTATTTCAGTAGGAATTGATTTCTGCAAGTAAATATTATTTCAGAAAACAACTCTGTGAAAGAGAAGTAGTTTTTCTAACTTTGGAGAACCAGATACACATATACACTCATGCATACCAACTTACCTAGCCACATCAAATGATTGTGCCTTTTGCAGTTTTGCGTTTAGCTGTGATCCTGGACCAGATCTACTAAAGGAAGAACTCTTTGGCAATGTGGCTGTAAACAAGAGAACACATGTATTTATTAGTATTAGCATTTTAAACTGTAGAATTTCAATGATGTTCATTTAGTTACTAACATCGGTTACAAGCATTATGGTTCTTTTGATGGTATCCCTTTCAAAAACATTAACATAAGTTAACAATGTCTAACAAAAAACAGGTGAAAACATACAGGCACTCTCAAGTCTTTTTACTTTCACAGTTTTATGCAAACACTGTTGATGCCAAATTATATTATGACTAATGTTAGAAATCACATGTATTCCAGTATGTTAAAGTAATCCCAACAAATAGCAGCACTTCAATAGTTAGATATGAGAAGACCAATTTCTATGCAATAGTTTATTGGCCAGCTAGATTTATCAGACTGCTGTTATAAAAGGGTTAATATTTTGCTCAATATGACTGACCGTTACAGTGTGGTATGTCCATGTTACTTCTTTTAACTTTTATACAATTTTGCTAACCAATTGCATTGGGCTAAATCAAAGTACAGTCCTTACGCAAAGTCATTCTTTAAATTAAGTTAGAACAGCTAATTCCATGTCTACTGTTCTCTGGATCCAAAGAAAATGGCAAAATAATTTTATAATAGCGAGAGAGTAAACAGAGTCTCAGTATGTAGCATACCAGGATGAGCAAAAGCAGGCAGAGGCTGTATAACAGCAGGAGCTCCATTAGCCAGGGGAGGTACTGCTGCTGCAGGAACAGAAGATACTAATGGTGGAGACATTCCTACTACTGGAATAGATGCCATTGGCACTGGGGCAACAGTTGTAAGAGACGGCATGCTGGCAATGCCCCCAATACCTATGAGCAAGAAAAGGAGATATTTTTTCTAATTTAGAGACTCCTAATATGATACAACAATTTAACTGCAGCCTGCGACTCAGCAGTAAATGCAGAATTAAAGAGCAAATTGAAATGGAAACTTCCACACACCCCTTGAAAGAACTCTTACAGTCCGCTGCACCATTAGCATGGCAGGGGAACACGAAACAATGCAGAGGGAACAACATACCACTTTATAATGTATGTGTATAAGACCGCACTGCATGCAACACTGACCAAAAAAGTCTATCAGCATTTGCTGAAGAAAAGAATTGTTTGCCTTGAACTAAATGAAGAGCAGCACTGTCGACTTCCAGTGAGTAATGAACCCAAAGCCTACATTTAGCCACAGCTGAAAAGAACAAGCTTCAGGATAACTGCCTGCAGTCTATTGTCAAGATGAAACAGTGCAAAGCTAATAGGGTAAAGCACAGTAATGAGGTATTTTAGGTGTAAGCACAGTAGCATGGATAACAGGGAGGTTAAGGAGGTCCAGTCAGGCCAATAGGAAGAATGTGTGCAAACAGCTGAGATCAAGTTTATAGTGAATAAGAAAAAAAGAAAAATCACAGATTTTGGTGGTTTTCTTGGGGGTTTGATTTTATTATGCCTTTTCTCACTTAAACCAGTATTTGTTCTGTTCAAGTTCACCGATTTCTTACAGTCAGAAATAAAACTGTGTGTAAAACTTGCGGAAGCAACAACTGATCAGACAACATGGCTGCACACAGTTTATCAAATGCACTAGTCCTTTTTCTTAAGGACAGCAGCAATTCTCAGGCACCAATCAACTTGAGTCACAGCAACAACTAAAACAGAAAGGTAAAGAACCTCTCACTACAGAATACGGCAGAACATCAAGGTGTCAAGCATGAGGTTCAGTTTCATTTAGTTATTTTCCTCTCACTATCCCATTTTCCCTACTCTTT